TTAAGGACTGAATTGGTAAAAATCAAACATAAAAGACCAAAATTGATAATTCTTACAAACATAAAGGATTAAGATTTGCAGTATCCTTTCTTTCTTTTTTTTTTTTTCATATCGTAATGATTCAATATAAACACAAGAGCTTTACTTAATATTCAATGTATAAAAATAGGGCCATGGGAGCCCATAGACAAGTAAGACAATTGCCTAGGGTCCCATATAAAAGCCCTGATTGCCCCTAGTATTTATATGTTAAATAGATGTATTTGTATTGTTGTGTAATAAATGCCAAATAAAAAAAAAAAGAAATTCCAATTCTTTCCACATTGAAAATTTTTTCACATTTTCAAAATAATATTTAATTATTGGGTTGCCCTCATCCTGATTATTAATTATTATTTATTCTTGTTTTATAATTTTCATTCAACCATCATCATCTCTAACTCTTTTAGTTTACGTCTTTATTCTTTCACTCTTCCTTATTTTCTTTTTTCCATTCTAAAGCCTAAAAAAAATATAAGTTATTTCATCTTTACTCTTCCACTCTTCCTTATTTTCTTTTTTCCATTAACATCTTTTTTGCTGCAGTCTTTTTTTATAATTTTGGATCCAACTAAATCATTAGAGTATACACCATTGAGTAGGGGTATTAGGTGTATTTGTTCCTTTTTAATTCAAGCTTTATTTTTTAGAATACAAAATACTGAGTTTTTGATTGTTTTTATTATTTCTAGTGCTAAAAATGTCAAATTATTATATGTTAAGCTCCTATACTCATTTCATCTCAATTCTCAAAATCTCTGAACATGATCCTGTATAAAAATATTATGAAGTTGCACATATGGTAAATAACGTTATTGTCATTGTTATCTTTTTGAATGGCAATAAATAGTGTTATTTATGGCTAGCTAAAACAAGCAAGGTTGAATGTTTTAAGCCAATTCCATATTTAAAATTTGGATAAAATGCATAAAGCTCTTTCAAAATTGAGATAGTTGCATATAATCCCTCTTATATTTAAATGTTTAAAATTAATTCCTAATTTTTAATTTTATCTTATGAAGCCTCCTATGGTTAATTAACTGTTATGTTATTAATATAGTTATTGTCATATCAAAATAGTTATTGTCATATCAAATTAATGCAATATACATAGCACATGATATGAAAAATATTTTTATTATTTTTTGACACCATTTAAGGAGGGACAAAATTGTCCCTCAACTAAAAAATGTAGCTCATTTTCATTGTGTGGTAAAAGTAAAAATTACAATTTTGTCTATTAAAAATGATAAAAATACTTTTTATATATCATGTACTATGTGTTGTATTAATATGACATGACAATAACTATATTAATAACATAATATTTAATTAATGGTAAAAGGTTTTGAAAGATAAAATTAGAATGTCAAAAATTTCACACAAGCTAGAGCAAGTAGAAGAAGGTGGGGAAATCTCAATTAAAAAATAAAACTTGCTCGAAAGGCTAGCAGGTATTAAAAAAGCACATAGTAAAAGAGACAACCAATAGCTAGTGCAAGTTGAGAAAGAACTTTGGCAAGAATACAACAAGGTTCTTGCTTAAGCAGAGCTAATATCTAGATGTGACTGGCTAAAGTGAGGAGAAAGAATAGCAAATTTTTCCATATCATGATGGTCATTCATTGAAGGAAAAACCGCATTGAAAGGTTGAGAAATTTAAATGAAAAGTGGATACTTGATTAGGAGGAATTCAAGAGAATGGCCACACAGTAGTACCAAAATCTCTTTACTAGAACCCAAGGCTCTCTTATCCCAGTATCTACAAGACATAGTTTTTCAAGGCTTAAGGAACAAGAATTTTTTATGCTTACGACAGATGTGGGTGATGAGGAAATAAAAGAGGTAGTCTTTGATATGGAAGCTTTAAGGCACCAAGGCCAAATAAGGGATTGTATTTGTAGATTATTGGTACTTGTAGGGACTCCATTTGTAGATTGGTTAAGGACATTTTCAATAACCCAAGCTAGATTGGACCTTTAAATGAAACCTGCTTGGTTTAATTTTGAAGATTGACCATTTAGAGCATATGAAAGACTTTAAAACTATCTTGTTATGCAACATGAGTTATAAAATTGTATCAAAGGTTATTAGCAAAAGATTGAGGAAGGTGATGGGAAGCTTGTAGGGTCACATCAATGAAGCTTCATAATAGGGCAACAAAGCAATGATTATATTATTATTGCCCAAGAAATTATCCACTCTATGAGAAGAAAAAGAGGGCTTAATGGTTAGATGGACGTAAAAGAAGATCTGAAGAAGACCTATGATAAACTTGAATAGGCTTTCATTTATGATACAATCAAGCAACTGGCTTATTTGATTATCTTTATAACCTGAGTTTGACATGCATTAATTCTACCATGGTTCAAGTGCTATGGAATATGGAGCTCACAAAAAATTTCTATTCTTTGAGGGGCATTTTCTAGGGGAACCCAATTTCTCATATAGTTTCACTCTTTGTATAGTGAGACTAAGTCATATTATCCTTAATGTTAAGGAAGAAAAGCAATAGGTTCCTATTATGCTTTATACAGATGTGGCTTTGCTCTCCTACTTGTTCTTCGCTAATGACTTTATTTTGTTTGGAGAAGCATATGCTAATCAAACAGAAGTTATGATTGATTTGTTTGAACTAGTTTTGTGGATCTTCAAGATAGAGTGTGAATAAGTCCAAGACCTAGATGTACTACTCTAAGAATGTTCATATATCAAGGTCTATATATCTGAGCACGAAGATAGGGGTTTCTTTGACAAGTGATTTGGGGAAATATTTAGGAATTCCTCTCATCCACAAGAGGGTGTCATATGTTCTCTTTGTACCTATTAGTGAAAAGGCACAAAAGAGGTTGAATGGATGGAAAGCGAGCTTTCTCAATAAAGCTGGCAAAGCTACACATTTTAAGGCAGTGATATCTATATTCCTTCCTATCACATGCAAACAATGCTTCTACCTAAGAGATTGTTGAATGATATTGAGAAGATTAGCAAGGACTTCTTTTGGGGTTATTCTAGAGATATCATAGTCTTCACTTATTATCTTGGGATTTGATATCCAAAGACAATTTAGAGGGTGGCTTAGTATTAGAAATTTAAGGAAACAAGATGAAGCTTTATTGGAACCTACTAACAAATAAGAAAAGCCTTTGGGTACAAGTTCTACAAAGTGAATACAAACATAGCACAGGACCTATCTTGAATATCAAAAAGCCACAGAAATCCTCCCTACCTTGGAGAAGCATTTGTGAGATCTAAAAGACTTTTAAGGGTGGTGTAGGAAAACAATATTGGAAATGGCAAAAGCACTTTACTTTAGTTTGCTAACTGGTCAGAGATGAACATACTTCTAATTGATTTGATTCCTGGATACAAGGATTTTATTGACATAGATGATTAGGTCTTTGATTTTAATAAGAGCAATGGTGATTAGGATATAGAGACTATGAGTTTTTGGTTTGAACCCTATGTAGTGGCATGTTTGACTCGAGCACATTCATCTTGTGAGAAGAGAAAAGAGAACAAACACTTTTGAAAACCATCCTTGTATAGATCCTTTACTGCTAAATCTACCTCTAAATTTCTATTTGCAGGTACCTAGTAACAGCCATAATATTTCAAAACTTGCATAGAGATGGCCAATTCCTGAGAAGATCAAATCCTTCATGTAGTTTTTCACACATGGAAGAGCGCACATAATAGACCTCAGATGTAGATGATGAATTCAAAGTAACGTTAGTTGTCTAATGGGTTATAGTTTCAAGGAGGATTCCATGCATCTTCTACGAGATTGCAACAATGCCATACATAAATGGAAGTTGGTTATTAAAGTTGATCAACTGGGGAAATTTTGCTCATTACAAGGAATGGAATGGGTAAAGTGGAACTTGAAAAATGAAATTGGGAATGAGCACATAAAGAAGATCCCATGGCCAACTCTTTTTGGATACATATGTTGGGATATTTCAATCAATTGGTATAACTATATTTTTTATGCTAATGGTCAAAGATGTACCTATGATGGTTTTTCTAGTTTCTTTAAGGTTGTATAGACAAGGAGCTAATGAGCAACTATCTATTATTTAATCCTTTTGTTAAGTCAGAGGTGTAAATGAATCAAAGTGGAGAAGACTTCATCAAGCTACATGTTGATGGCTTCATCTAAAGTGATGAGAGCAATGATTGTGAAGGGTATTTGTGAGATAGCTAAAATAACTAGATTTGTGGTTTCAGCTCCAGATTGATCTTTGTCCCCTCGATAGTAGTGGAAATGATTGGCATTACATAGTGGACTTAATTTGTGTAGGGAAAGGAACTTATTCAGAGCGGCAATTTTTTCAGACTGTCTTAAAACGATTAACCTTATCATTCATAGTTGTGATGCCACTTTTCCTTTCAAGGATATTGTTTAGCAAGCAAGGTCTTTCTTCTTCATAGAGGGCCAAATTGATTTTAATCATGTGTATAGACTATAATAGAGTTGTTGATTACCTAGCAAGTCTATCTTATTTTTTATATGTTAACTTTTGCCTCTTTGATCATCATTCTTGCCTAAACATAGGAGTGGAGGATGATGAAAGAGGATATGTTGTTCTTTTTATTACTTGTACTTTGTTGCCTAGTTTTGATTAGTAATGCATTTAAGTTTTCATTCAGAAAAAAAAGTTAAGAGGTTAATTTAAAATGTTTAAAAGTGGAGGGAGTCATATATAATTATCTTAATGTTCATTGGAGATTTTATATATTTTAACATTAAAATTTTTAACTTATATTTATATTTTGATTTATATTTATCAAAATAAAAATTATAAAAATTAAAAAAAATTTAATCAATCTGTTCATTATTAATTATTGAACAATGCAAATTTAATTTGCATGGTTCATTATAATACAATTTTTTTATAATAATAATAATAATAATAATGAAATACTCACACAATATTTTTACCAAAAAAAAAAAAAAGCCTAACCCTAGTAGCATTTGGCGGAATATAAGCCTTGCACAGTTGCACTCCAATTTCGATTTTTCATATGGTCGAAGACTGAGGTTTTAGAGGGCTTCGTCAGAGGCATTATATTTCGTCTTCAACCTTGCAACACGGTATGTCACGATACACGCTCAAATTAGTTAGTTGAGCAATTATCTAGAAAGATTTAGTTTTGAATGATTATAATATGAAGGCGCAACATCTCATTCCTGGGTTTTGTTTAGGATTTTATGATTCAGAGTACTTGTTTATGGTGATGTTTGGGGTGTTAACTGTGTTCTGTAGATGAATAGCTTAATGCAATTGTGTGCAGGGGACCGTATAGTTAAACAAGGCAAAAAATGGCGTATGCAGCGATGAAGCCCACTAAACCCGGTTTGGAGGACTCTCAGGATCAGATTCACAAGATCAGGATTACTCTTTCTTCTAAGAACGTGAAGAATCTCGAGAAAGGTCTGTTTTGTTCTTTATAACTTTGCTTTATGTTCTGCTTCTTCTTCTTCTTCTTTTTAATCAATTTGATGTTAGATCAGATTCTATTGTACTATGCTACGAATTGCGGCCTCAGTGTGGATAAATGTAGCATTTTGATGGTTAAATGTCTGAGTCTATAGCTTAATCTCTAAATGTCTACCTTTTGCTTTTGTGACAGTTTGAGTTATACAGTCTTGTTGAATCATGCTTTACATTTGTCTTAAATCTATATATGTCTATATGTAATGTAAAATTTATACAAAGTCATAGGTCATGAATGTGTGGTTAATCTCAGACTTCATGGGAAATCACGTTCTAGTTTGCATTTAAATCTCAAATGCAGTTAATTTCTCTTGGTAATGTGATTCATATTTGCCTGATGATTAAGTTTTGCTTATTGACAGTTTGTGCTGACTTGGTACGAGGTGCCAAGGACAAGAGGCTCAGGGTGAAGGGACCTGTGAGAATGCCCACTAAAGTTCTTCACATCACCACCAGGAAATCCCCTTGTGGTGAAGGTAGGTTTAGTTTAAAAGTGTCCATCAACCCTATGCTGCCAATGCTTTTTTCGTTGGGTTGTCATTTGAAATTTATGAATGATACCTCTCCCATGTGTTTTCTGATTCTTACCTTCTAGATATCTTGTTGATATCAGGGAAAGGACAGAATTGCTGTGTTATATGTTCTTATTTCAGTTTCAGAGATCCTGCAATAGTTTCCCTTTCTAAATTTAGTTTTTCTATTTTATTGTTTTGTTCTCACTGTCCTTAAATCCTGTCCTAGTAGATGTATTGAAGTCAAATCTTAGTTATATTAACAAACATATGGATCAGTTTGGTGTGTTGTAAAAATGTTTTTACTAAGATAGCCAAAAGGAGAATTCTTGTGACATGCAATGGGCAATGGGTCCCTCTAATTTATACGATGAACATCCACAATGGTTTGGTGAAGTAATGTGGATTTGAATTAATACCAAATACAACGTTCATTTCTAATAAAACAAAATTCAAGTTTTATGATGACTCCTTTTGCTAATCTTGGACTGCTATTATTGTACTCCTACTTTTCCACTTGACCTGGTTTCTGATTTTTCTATTATCCTCGCACAATTTCATGAAAGTCAGATTCTGTTATTGCTGGTTGTCTTAATTGTACAATTGCTTCGAATTATTCCCCTTTTTTCGGATACAGAAGGATTTTATTGATGTGAAAAGAAATATATTAACGGATCTTAAGCCATCCCATCAAATAAGGAAATATAACCAAAATGATCATTAGCACAAAATGGTATTGTTATTTCACTTTGTACATCCACTGGGGAAACGCCCCAAAGAAGCTCATTGTGAGGCTAGAAGAATAACCTCTTGAAGACATGACAAGGGAGAATCTAATTATTGTTGTATTCATTGGTGTTTACCATCACCTTCACCTTTTACGATGAAATGTTCATCAAAGACTAACGTTGTTGTCAGCATCAGCTATGTACTGAGTTACTGTCAGGAATATCTTGCATTACGGTTACTTGAGTTATAGTGTTAATAATCACGTTGATCAATGCAAACTTCAGAAAGTAAGAATTCGGCAAAATGTAGAGCAATGTTTGGATTTTGGTTTCTTTTTCCATCTTCTACTAATGGAAAGGATTTTGTCTGTTAGCTGTGTAGATTATGGATTGGCTTGGTATAGCTCTATTGTCTTGACAATTGTTTGTAGAGGCTACTTTCCCATCCTTGTCTACGTTATGTGCCGTTAACTTGTAATGCTATTATTCTTTAGTAACATGTTTGTAGAATTGCGTAGTCTGTATCCAGTTTATCGCATTACATTCAATCACGTTTCATGATAATTGCATGATATTTTCTGGTTATTGTGGTTATAACTAGATGGATGTTGTGTTAGGTACCAACACTTGGGACAGATTTGAACTTCGTGTGCACAAGAGAGTTATTGACTTGTACAGCTCCCCAGATGTGGTTAAGCAGATTACTTCAATTACAATTGAGCCGGGTGTGGAAGTTGAGGTTACCATTGCAGATGCTTGATTTGGCCCAAAAATGATTTCTTTTTGTTATTTTGCCTCTTGGCTAAGAAAATGTTTTAGTGGAACTCTTACAATCTAGGGTTTGGCACAATGCCTTTCCTGGTTTATTAGTTTGAAGCTGGTAACATTGTTTGTTTATTTTTTGCTGTGGAAGTTGATAACACTTACCTTTATGGTCAAGGTTATTGATGAATACCTCCTTTATTAGTTTATGGTCATGGTTATTGATGAATACCTCCTTTTATTAGTTAGATGTTTAAGCTGTCGTTTGAAATTAATTATTTGCATATTATTGCTTGTATATATTTTTTTTGTGCTTTGATATTTTTTTTTTTAAAAAACTTAGAAAATATAGTCTGATAATCTTGAGTATGTGCTCAGTTATTTACGATATAAAGTATACAATTCACCCAATGGGAATGCGTTAGTTGCTTTGATGTTAGAATACTATGTTGGCATTTAATTGATTAAGAAATTTCACCAATTTGATATTTCTAATTCTTTCTAAATTTAGAACATTACGTATTGGTGGCCTTCTGTCTGGATCCTTTAGAAATCATCACAATTCGTTGTTTTATGTCAATGTATTCATAATTATTTTTCTAAATTTAGTGTACAACAAAATTGCACAAGGATTTTTTTTTTGGGGGGGGGGGGGGAATAAAAAAGGCTAAGCCCAAAAGTTTAAAATACCATGCTGCTCAAGAAATCAGGAGCAATTTCAAATAAAGAAGAGTAAGAAATTGCCTTGGCCAACTTATCTGCCACCCGGTTTAGTTCTCTATCCATGTGTTGAATCTTAATTGAGAGAATCTCACTCAAGAATTTGACAAAAAATTTATTTACAAACAAAGACTAATAACAATTTTATTTGAGAAAAAATAGTTTATGTTTTATTTCAATAACAATCAATTAAACATTGGTCTCTGTGAGGGAATAAATTTCTTATCAGGTTTTTAGATGTGATTCTCCCATCTTAATTTGCCACTTCCATTGTAGCATGTTGATAATCTCTAAGAAAGCTACAGTGGACGCATTGATGCTGTTGCTACCCCTATTAATATGCTCTATCAGATTCTATCAAAAGTTTTTTAAAGCGAGAATCTCGTCTAGGATCCCCAAGAGAGAAAAAACTACACTCATGGCCTAATATTCTAAAATTATTCTATTAGCCCAAGGGTCCTTTTTGCACATATGTTTTAGAAATAAAGGACATAATTGCCCTTAGTAAGAAAATGCAACAAGTATAAATTTAAATTTTTACAACTATATATTTATAAATTCATACTTTAAGTTCATATGTTAAAAAGTAATTGTCTATTGAAAGTGAAATTCTTATTTAGAATTAATATGTTCATTTTAGTTTACAATTTAAAGTTCGAACATTTACAAATACATGTTTATTTATTCATTAGACAAAATCCAAAATTTATGATTTCATGTATTTAAAATCAAGATTTATCATAATAGCAAATTTAGATTTTTATAACTACATGTTCACTAATTCAGAACTTTAGATTCACATATTAACAAATAATTTTTTATTGGTAGTAAAATTCTTATTTAGAGTTGAAAAGCTTGTTTTGGCCAACTGAATAAATTTATAACTTAAAGCTTGAATATTTACAAATATATGTTCATTTACTCACAAGTCAAAGTACATAATTTAAGACTTTATATATTTAGAACTACATTCATCAAAACAACAAGTTTAAATTTTTACAACTAAATGCTCACAAATTTATAATTTTAAGTTTACATATTAATAAGTAATTTTTTATTGATAGTGAACATAAAATTCTTTCTTTTTACTAAGGGAAATTATGTCTTTTCTTCCTAAAATATATTTGCGAAAAGGGCCCTTAAACATGCAGAATAATTTCAGAATTTATTAAGCTCTAAGTGCAATTTTTTTCTCCTTGGGGGGCCTTAGATGAGATTCTTCCTTTTCTAAAACCAAAGGCCAGCAGACAGAAGACCCTTAATACAATCCATTCCTCTGTTTCATAAGCCTTGCAAGAGCCTAAATCGTGACAGAACCCCATAATTCAATATGAAGATGATTTTATAGTTTATACGTGTAAAACATTATGAAGAAGATTTCCTGATCGGCTGGGAAATGAATTCAAAATTATTGTATTTAAAAAAGATAATAAAAATTTTTTCGTTAATTCAATCTAACTAAAGGGCTTTGCAGAACATGCCATGGACGAATATTTTTGGGAGGCATTATTTGAAAATCAGAATCGGTAGATCATCATTTATTTTTCACACTGCGATTTTGCTGAAGCCACTTGATTTTTTTTTAAAGAAAAATACAAGAGAAAAAATAACTATTCATCCCCATAGTTTTATTATGTTTTGTTATTGGTCTTTGTTTTTTACTGCTCTAGGCTTCTATAGTTTTTTCATTTACAATATTAATCCCTCAATTTTTAAATAAGCCTAGAGAGATGACATGGCACTAACAATGTTCAATTATCAATTGTGTAACTAACGATGTTAAATCTTGTGATGAATATTTAAATAAGAAAGAAAAAGGTAGGGCAATCACAAAATACAGAGTAATGAAAATTAACTAGAAGAAACTAAAGGCTATAATCAACTAAATGGAGACAAAATAAACTTCAATGTCAACATTAAAAAAAAATAACAATCCATGACTTCAAAATCAAGAAAAAAAATAAAATAGAGTATCTTGGTGTGACAGACAAAACCAAAATAGAAGTGAAGAGAAGAGTTCAAAATTTGTAAAAATGAACATAATAAAACTTAACCTTTGTTTGATGACCAATGAAATGAAATGATGTTGGTTACATACTAGATAATTTAATATTATTAGTGCTACATCATCATCCCTCTAAGTAAATTTTAAAGTAGAAGGATTAATATTATTGATGAGAAAAACTATAGGGTCCTAGAGTGTAACATCCTAAAATTTAAAACAAGATTTATTAAATTAATTAAGGGTTAAATTAGTTCATTGTTGTCTTTGTCGGGTTAAGTAGGGCGGATGGATGACTCTTAAGTCCATTGGACCCTATTTGGGAACTAAAAACATGCCTCAAGTGTCATTAAGCCACCTTAGGCCCACTTAAGAGGATTAATTTAAGGTTTTATGTTCTGTCTCATCAGCCACAATGGATAGCACAGTGTACCATGATGGATGTGATAGATTTTAAAATCTTGATTCGTGCTAAATAGACAAAACCTAAGAGAGAAAGAGTTTGAGGAGAATGCGCTTTTGCTTTGCTAAGGCTATTAGGATTCAATATTTTAGAGCTTCCTAGAGATTGAAATCACTAAGGCAAGTGTTCAAGCCTCCTCCTCCTCCTCTCTTGTGTTTTTTTTTATAGGTCTTTTGGGAGTTTTTGCTTGGGGATCCAAAAATAGGGGAAGTTCTACCTAAGTTTTTGACTTTAATGAGAATATGATATTCTTTGACATTTAACTAAGTGTTTGCTCATTGGATTATGTTAATGGGAATGGTTAATGAAGTTAATTATTGGTTTAATATTAACACTGATACTAAGTAATCAAATTTAAGCTAATGTGATAGTTTAACGATATTATTTAAGTTACTAGGAGGTTAAACAAGTAAATGAGCTAGAAATGAGGTTGATTACAGCTAATGATTATGATTAAAGTTAATAACTAAGGTTTGTAGATTAATTGTTTTTAGAGTGTGCTTGCTTGTTGGAGACTCCTATGATTATACGAGATTAATCTTGCTTTAGTAAACCAATGAGATAATCAAGAGTTAAATTCTAATATGTGTTTGTTATTTGCATTTATGGGGTTGAATGATTATGGTATGAAATGAGTTGAGATGATAAGTGTGTGTTTGCTTGTGTGAATGGTTGAGTTTCATGTTCGGATACATGATTGTATACAAATCAATGTATGGCTTATAGTATGATATCAAGTATAAGTATGTGAACATAGTTTGATAAACATGAGATTGACTATGTGATGAGTTGATTTAGTTTATGACTATGTTATGTCATTGAGCAATGAGTAATGATCATTTTGCAATTTAAACAATGAGTATAATAATATGGCTATGTTAAGCTTGAATATGAATATAAGCATGTCTTAGAACATGAGATGAAATTGCATGATCATAGATGGGTGAGAGTTTACCCAAGTAAGTATAAGGCATTGTGAAAATTTACATGGTGTAGCCCCACCGAAATTGGTGCATGGTGGTTGATATAATTAATTAAAAAAATACTTAGTATTATCATTGTCTTATAAAAAGTGGCATATGTAACACCCTCAAAAATACAAACCAATTTTTTGTAAATTATTAAAACCATTATCATGGTAGAAAATTTTCTTACCATGATACATCCAAGACATAACACAAGTCTTAAAATATCCAAAAAGGAAATTAAAACCATGAGGGACAGACATAATCCTCATGGTCATATAAATACTTTTAATAAAAAGGATTAGAGTTTACATGCTCCAAAAAGAAAATATGTCCTAAGTTGGCATAAGATACATTGTATAATCCAAAATAAGAGGCAACGTAAAAGATGGTGTCTCATACACCATAGTTACACCTCTGGTGCTTTCTCGGCCGGATTCGCTCCTGTAAAAATATTAACCACGGGGAATGAGACTTAAAAGTCCCAGTAACCAAAAATTAATATGTAATAATGCATGCGGATGTAACTAATCATGCGATTGTTAAGTGGGCACACAAAAACATTTAATCGAACAATATTTCCAAACAAACCGAACAAGTATTTAATTTGCATGACTGCACCTTATATCCTCCTTTCGCCATGCTCGGACATCAAATCACCCGGCCAAAGGTGAGTTGGACCAAGCGACACGCCACTCATTAGGTCCAATAAAGGCTTACCACGTGGTAATAATTAACCGAACAGAAATTCCCATTAACACCATACATTAAAATACTCTGACAAGTCATGCATCATTCAAATATCCAAACAGGAATATATCCGAACAATAATATCTCATCATGATAAACAAAAATAAATTTTTACCCACTTGGCAATAATTTCAAACAAGTATATACAGTATTTATTTTCAATAATTCATAATTTTTCCAAACAACAAAACAACACATAACCATTCACAAACACACCTATCACAACACATTAATAATAATTACCTTGTGTCTTGAATAACAAGTTCCCCTTCACAACTCCTTTTTCACCACTATCTTTGTCAATATAATCTACATAATTATTTCACAATACTATATATTAATTTTACA